GAGCTTCCTGATCTGGGACGTGGGCGGCCAGGAGAAGATCCGGCCGCTGTGGCGCTCGTACACGCGCTGCACCGACGGCATCGTCTTCGTCGTCGACTCGGTGGACATCGAGCGCCTGGAGGAGGCCCGCTGCGAGCTGCACAAGACCGCCAGGCTCCCCGAGAATATGCAGGTGAGGCGCTGTTTCAGTTGTTGTGGTTGTGGTGGTGGTTGTTGTTGTGTTGTTGTTTGTGGTGGTGGTGGTTGTGTTGTTGTTTGTGGTGGTGTGGTAGTTATGGTTGTGGTGGTTGTTGTGGTTTCTATGTGTTATTTGTGTCAGAAACGAACTGTTGGAAGTGATGAGTTGTTAGCGACGGGCTGTTGTTGTCAATGGCAAGCTGTTATTGGTGTCAGTTGCATGTTATTTAAATTTCCAACACATAATTGTTACTGTTAGCAATGCGTCGTTGCCAGTGGCGATTTGTTGGTAGCAGCGAGTTATTATCGTCAGCCACGGGATATCACTGTCAGCGGCCAGTCGTTGTCAGAGATGGCTGCGGGGGGAAGAACAGGCAAGCCTACAATATACTGTGTATCTGGTGTTTATGGCAAGAATTCAGTTACTCGTTTCTTAAAGCTTCATGGATTGATTCTTGTACGTAATGGAACTGAGAGGTTTTCTGGTGCATTTCACGCAGTTAATTCTATGAAGAATAGCTTCCTTCATATGCGCAAAAGAAAGGCAGTTTTTAGACAAATGATCAAAAAACCTTTAATACCGTAAAAAGACAGATTTCCAAGAGTCTCTGATGATACCTCTTAGTCTCCAAAATACACACATAATGTCTTGTTGAGTTAGTTATTTTCACTCTTATAAAGTTGATAGATAAATGAATTACTATTATTATCATGGAACGGCTACTAAGCATACTCGTAACACATTAGTTATTACTGATACGGAAACAGACCAGTTATCCATAATTCAATACTTTAAATGCATTCCCTTAATTCGTAAGGTCAGTGACGAAGAAATAAAATGAATTATGGGATTTTTGGTAAAATTACTGAGCACGCAATGATCTTGTGTACCATTACTTTTAATTTTTACGCATGTCATATAACAGCATAGGTATCCTAAAACATCTCAGGAGAGGATTTTCACCCGTCCCCGCGTGGGAAATGCAAGATCTCGCCAGCAAGAGGGAATATAAGAGAGCCAAGCCATTCAAACTAGCTTGCGCGCCGGCTGCACAAAAGGAATTTTGAGTTTCGCTACAAATCGAGCGTTGGCGAAAGCAAACTCCCGACTCTGCCTTTATTGAAGGGGATATTGTTAGCCAAGTTAATATAGGCTTTTGTTTTTTCGCATTTGGGATCAGAGCCGTAAGGGGCGAGGGGGGGGGGGAGAGGGGAGGGGGGGAGAGGGGCGAGGGGAGGGGGGAGGGGGGAGAGGGGCGAGGGGGGGGGAGGTGTAGCAGCTGGTCCCATGCACTCAGGTCAAAGTTGCAGTACCGGGTTAAGTGGGAACGACGTTAAGGAGGGGTATTTGCCAGGGACGAGAACAGGGTCCAAAATTCCAAGTATGAACGCTAAAAATGGTTTACAGAGAATCTTAATGAAATTACAGCGACTAATGAAATGACAATGACTAATAGTGAGGGATTGTTTTGTTATAAAATTCATTATGGTTCGTCCTAGGTTTATCTAATTGTGTTAGAATGGTTTGTTATCGAACTCAGTGTATAGTCGCAGGTTTATTAAACAGAGATTGGTATCATAATACTCACTCTCGAAAAGCTAGTGCTAGAAAATCATGAGTAGGCCTACGCAATAATGTCTACTTAAACTATATATTATTGTATTCATTTCTATTCCACTTATTTCGGTGCCAATTCTGTACTTTCATTTTACCTGTTTTAAAATTTGGTCTGGGTGATAATACGTTCTGCAAGGGTTCTTGTCTTTGCTGTACTGTTAATTCGAAAGTATGAAAAGAAAAATTACAATATTCATCATTAGTTTGTAACACGTACGCTTTTATTCGAAAAGACAAATCGTGCGGATTTTTTTTTTTTTTTTTTTTTTTTTTTTTTTTTTTTTTTTTTTTTTTTTTTGCGTCCACCCGAACCCGGTTTCATCGAATAACAAGGATAGAATTCCTAAGAAACGACAAGACTTCTGCCCCTTGTTCTGAATCCTACAAGGCCCAGCATCAGTTTACGTCGGAAAGTTAGTCGAGAGTTGAAATTTAATTCCTTTCCTCTCCGCTAAAGTTTGCAACATGTAGTTATCAGCGTGAAAATGTGGTTGTTTGGTGACGCGAGAATATTGGTGCGAGAGCAGGTGGCGGAACGGGCAGTGTGACTATTCTTCTCCCCGTGATCGCGATAGCCTCTCGGGCCGACGGCTCTTTTGTGAGATGTTTACAGCCCCGTCGTGATTCCCTGGCGCGATTTGTTTATTCATTTGTCTCTTTGTTTCCTGGTTTCTCTTGTGAGTTTGGGTTCGAATCTTAAATAGAGATATTAAGGGAAAGCGTAGGGAAGCGCATAGTATTTATTGGCATTGCCTTGTTTGCATAGTATAGGTTCGTCGATTCACAACTTTTATACAAACTAGTGATAAGATTTCAGACTTTACTGTATTCTGTTTCTTTACCGATGGACCCGTAGATACGAGTTTTATTGATCCTTTTCCTTTAATAATAGTGTTCTGAGGTAACTATGGCGGGTTCTGAGTGTAAAAGCATTATTATGATGACAAGTGACTCACAATGCTACGGTTTCCTCCTATCTTTATAACCGATTGTCAGGTTGGATAAATTTCTTGGCCATAACTTCTACGATAACCTTTAGAGTCGTTGCCAAATCATACCAAGAAAGCCAACTTGGAAATGCAATTGTTCAGGCAGAGGCGCGCAACCAACCAAGAACCATCACAATAAATTGAAAGTGGTTAAGGGAATACTTCCCTTTGATCCAAGGACATAAGGAAGCTTTTCCCAGCAGAACCGTTATCCTTAATGGGCCTTGGCGAATGGACATCCTGGCCAATGGACGTCCCATAAGGCAACTGTTCGAAGGAAGATGGTATTCCTTGAGGAGGCTGTGCGGCGGTGCTGACATTTACACGATCTGATAGACGGTGACTCACAGGCAGGCAAATCGATGGGAAGAACGCAGTATGCAAAACACACACACACTCATAATGATGATAATAATAATGATGATTATAATGATAATTATGAAAATGATAACACTAATAATGATAATTATGAAAATGACAACACTAATAATGATAATGATTATCACAATGACAATAATAATAATAAGTCATAATAATGATGATGATAATGATAATAAGAATAATGACATAGCAATGGTAATACCAATGGAAATTATAATAATAAACCCACCCCGTATCGAGTCCAACCAGTCATCCTACTCAGGCAGTAACATAAAAGGGAATTTAGTACTATTCAAAACCCCGCAAATTTAGTACATTCTCCCAACCTAACCTGCGGCCGCGTTCCTCCGCGTGGCAACGACAGATCTGCGTGGAATGGCTGGCTTCGGGGAGATAACACCTTTGAGCTCTATTCGATCCCCACTCATTAAGTCGTGTGGTTGTCGAGGTCGTTACCGTTATTCAGAACAAGGGCGTGATTGGAGGGTCGTCTCAGCGGTAGGTTAGTTGATTGTTAGTTTACTGTTTTTATTTCCGGAAAAGGGAGGTTGTTATTTTCACTTGGTTTGGCAAAGGTTGGAGAGAGAGAGAGAGAGAGAAAAAAAAGATGAAGTGATTGACGTCCGTGTTTGAATAAGTTTTGATTACTTTGGAGGCATTTTTGAGTTGCCAGGCAAGTAGGGAGCAAGTTAATGGGTAAGTAAAGAGTAAAGAAAACACGTAAAAATGTAAGAAAGGAAGCAAGAAGTAGAGATGAATGTGAATAAGGAATAATCAAGTAAATTAAGTAAGGCGTTTACAAATAAAAAAAAATAATAATCAAGTAAAGAATACACGAATACGCAATACAGGTACAAAATACATAAATAAGCAAGGGGCTAGACAGCAACTGAAGCATAAAGACATAAACGGAAAGAGAAAATAAGCAAGTAAGTAAATAGCGACAAAGTTAGGACAGGAAGCGCTAGGTAAATCAGTCGACAGTAAAGAAGTAAGAAAATAGTGGTTGAGCTAAAAAAAAAAAAAAAATTAAAACAGTGGAGAATGACAACCAAACAACCACACACGAAAGGACAAAGCAAGATAGCCAATCAACAACAAACAAACAAACGAGTCAAGCAAAAAAAAAAAAAACAAGAAAACAAAGCAAAAAAAAAAAAAATCCAACCAAAGCAAAGACCCGCCATCACGCTAAAAGGTAAACAAGGAGACAAGTCACGCAAACAAGCAAACAAACAAGCAAGCAAGCAAAGAAGTGAAAGGTAAATTCGTCGACTTTTTCTCCCTGTGAGCGTACCTCCGCCAACCAACGGCCGCGATCTGGTTATTGATTGATTATGGAGAAAGACCAACAGGGAGGAGGGAGGGAGGGAGAAAGGGAGAAGGAGGAAAACCAAGAGGGAGAAAGGGAGATGGAGGAAAACCAAGAGGAGAAAGGAGATAAGGGAGGGAGGGAGAAAGGGAGATGGAGGAAAACCAAGAGGGAGAAAGGGAGATAAAGGGAGGGAGGGAGAAAGGGAGATGGGGAAAAACCAAGAGGGAGAAAGGGAGATGAGGAAAACCAAGAGGGAAAGGAGAAAGGGAGGGAGGGGAAAGGGAGATAGGGAGAAAGGGAGATGGAGGAAAACCAAGAGGGAGAAAGGGAGAATAAAGGGAGGGGAGAAAGGGAGATGGGGAAAAAACAAGATGGAAAGGGAGATGGAGGAAAACCAAGAGGGAGAAAGGGAGATGGAGGAGAGGAGAAAGGGAAATGGAGGAAAACTAAGAGGGATTTAGGGAGATGGGGAAAACTAAGAGAGAGAAGGAGAGAGGGATGAAGGGAGATGGGGAAAAAACAAGAGGGAGATGGAGGAAAACCAAGAGGGAGAAAGGGAGATAAAGGGAGGGAGAAACGAGAAACGGAGATGAGAAAAAACAAGAGGGAGGAGACAGGGAGAAAGGGAGATGGGGAAAAGTATGAGGTAAAGGAAGATGAAGGGAGATGGAGGAAAAAACAAGAGGGAAGAG